CCCCAACTCCCCCTCCACCGCTACCCTATAGTGTTTGCCTAAATTATATATATTTTTTGCAAATATATTCTACTCGCTAACCAACAACAACAACTACTCGCTAACCAAATACTGAAAAATATTTTCCGGAACACTTTTTCACTCACCAACTAAACATGGGAAAATAAGTGATAAAATTACTCATTTTCCAGCAAAACATTTCCAAGGAAAACATTTTCTAACATACCAGACACACCCTCAGTCAATTTATCTAGCAAGGAGGCGAATTGATTTTGTTTTATTAAGGTCTCTCCCTTCTTCCGTCTCAAAAAGGTCCCTCCCATCTTCCATCTCCCTCCCAGTGGGAAATCTGCACCGCTTCTCCTTGGGTATCACTTTGCTGCGTTTTGCCTCTCTATAGGTTTCTTTGGAAGGTGGGGAGTGTGAAAATCAGTGAACATTTCTGTACTACCCATAACTTATATAAAAAACCTTTGGAAGGTGGGGAGTGTGAAAATCAGTGAACATTTCTGTACTACCCATAACTTATATAAAAAACCTTTGGAAGGTGGGGAGTGTGAAAATCAGTGAACATTTCTGTACTACCCATAACTTATATAAAAAACCTTTGGAAGGTGGGGAGTGTGAAAATCAGTGAACATTTCTGTACTACCCATAACTTATATAAAAAAGTTTTGCACTACCTGTTTTGATCCCAAGTGATGGAGAAGAATGAGATTTGTGTACTTGGATTGTGGACCTACTGTTTCAGTCAATTTGGAGAATTTTTACAAACTTATAATGCTTGGTAGTATTTTTTCTGATAAGGAAAGAAAGGGAATCAAAGTAATGCTCGATTTTATTTAAATTAGTTAATTAAGGACTTGGGGGTTTCTATGGCATGAGCTTCAGATCCAAATTAATCTCTTTTCAGTTAACGTTTTAATTTTCAATGGTGACAAATATATTTGACATTTCTATTTGTTTTTTTAATTCCTTTTGTAGACAATTGTATGATCAGGTGGGACTTCAATCATCCTAACGTAACTTTGAAAATTTAGAGTTCAAATGAGCTCTAATCTATTTGCGCTTTTACATATATCTTCCTTTCAAGAATCTTGTGTTTTATCAAGGAACCATGCCTAAGTGACAATGTTAAGATGCCGAGCTACTAAAATAATTGCGCTTTTGGGTTTTGTCATCTAGGAAAGTCTCATTTAGGGTCCAAATTGATATTTCTAACCTATCCTTGTGCTTTAGACTTTTTCCTATCAAGAATCTAGTGTTGTAAGTGGCAATGCTAAGATGCTAAAACACTTGAGCTTTTGGGTTCTATTATTTGGGAAAGTGAGTTAATCTCATAGAATAAAGCTTAGTACTCTCCTCGTTACATTTTATATGACGGTGTTTGATTGGATACTTAGCTTGAAATTTAATTTGAATTATATTTATTATTGTGTGGAAGAAAATAATGAAGTACTGGTTGAAAAGTTAGTTTGGGGGAAAAAGTCCCATCAAAATTTTAAAATTTAAATACGTAAATGAATTTGATATCTTGAAAGTTGTGAACTTTTTATCAAGTAATGTATCTGTGAGGTTTAGCACATTCCAAAACGTCATATAGACAGTATTTCGTTCTTCCTTATGGGTGAAGTTGCAATTTGGGTTAGATTGAAGTTATTTCGTTTGAAGTTATAATCTCACCTGGTGGATTACTTTTATGTTTGTCATTCCATAAAAGAAAAACGTTAGTCCTATATTTCATGTTACACTATTTAAAGCAGCTGTTTAATTGGTAGCAGAGGATCTTCCTTTAGACTCCAATTAATTTGTTGATAGAGCTATAAGATCTTGTGGAAAATGGATCGCATATTTGCTTACCCACCCCGCAAAAAGAAAAAAGCTATCTATTTTCTACTTTAGCATGTACCGATAGAGTTGCATGCTATAAGATAATAAGATTCCTTTACATCATTGCTTTTTCTTCCACAGGTTTATTTGTCTAATTGTAGTAGCACTGTGATGGCTGGCCAGATAGAAGGTCCGTGCGAAGTACTTCCTTCGAGCAAGTTTAATGAAGAAAGAGAGAGGGTATCTCGCCTAGAAACAAGGTCTAATGGTGGATTACGGCCTCTCTACATATGCAAGTATGTTGATTAGATCTGCTTTTGCACCTCTTGTTGGTTGATATGGAACAATTCATTATGGATAGTGCATGATATAGATGATTCTCCTTTTTGCTTTTACTTTGATCTGGCAGGAGTCACTGTACGTTGTTTAGTCTAAACTCTAAATGGAGCATGGGCAAACTTAACTCTAATTCATGGTTTCACTTGGTGATGATTCAGTAAAAATTCATATTCAATGCTGATTAATGGTGATGCAGAAGAGATCCCCTTAAAATGCTGGAACATGATTTTTTTTTTGTTGAGATGGTAACATATTGAATATTAATATAAAGACTACACAAAAACTGTGGAGTCACCCTTAATTACATATAGGAAGGAAAAAGACTCCTAATCCTTGGTCTTCTCACAAGGAATCTAAAACATCAAAAATAGAGACATGTTCTTCTAAATGCAGAGACAAAATAGTTCAAGGAACTTACTTTTATCCTCTTGTGACTTGTGTACAATTGATTAGCTAAATGCAGAGACAAATTGGGGATCCCAGCTTTCACATTAATAGCTCTAAATTTCAGTTTACGTTGCTGATTTCCCCCCTTTTTTGGTAAGTAATTTAATCAAAATTTATTGATGCAGATGGATTTATGATGAATCGAAAGGGCTATTCCGTGACGTTTCCTGTTGATTTAGGGTTAGATGGCGATCTTCTGTATGTTGCCACTGTTTCTTGGCTCTTCTCTCTGATTAGGTACAGATCCATTTCTGAGTTCCTAGCTCTTTTAATCTGTTCAGAATGTTAGTAGTGTGTCATTATCCCCCTTCTGCTTTTCTACAACCTCCTTTTATTGGTGCTTGTGTGGGCTCAATGAAGTGGGGTTAAACCTCACTTCCATTTTGTTTTATCAAGTAATAAAGCTCAATGCCATTTCTGAATTGGAAGTTTGGTTTCTGCCTCAATTTTAACATACATCATTCCTTTTGTGTGACAAAAAATAAGTAACTTCAAATAATTGGAAACTACTTCCGTACAATTAAGGCTTATTTTGGATACTTGTATCTTCTCCATTCATTTTCAATGAAAAAAAATGGTCTCCACCTGACTATATTGTTTTTTTGCTTTTCATATTTGATTTATTCCAACTAGGTGTTATTTTCATCTATCTTTCACTCGGTCACTTGTTTCAGCTGTAGCAATCTTTTCTCTTTCACTTATAAGGTAGTATTACTTATTTGCTTCCATTTTAGTGTCGTGCATATGAACTTTTATGTTACTCTTTCCCAGAGTTTGTCTATTGTCTCATTTACTGGATGCTGCAACTTCTTTCACACTTAAATAACGGTAAATGGCCAAAATTACCCTTCAACTATTCGATATAGACCATGTTTACCCTCCGTTACATTTTGGTACCAATCAAGTCGTTGCCATCTAAATTTTAGACCACTTCTACCCCTTAAAACTAACGGATTCCACGTCCTATACATAAACCCACATAAAATAATATTTCTTTTGTTGAGTTAGACAACCAGGTGGAAACATAATAATCCTACCCCACCCTTCTTCCCTCCCCACCCTACTTTTCTTTCTTCTCCACCCCACGTTTCCCTTGTCACTCTTCTACCATGAAAGACTCAAAAAGCTTCCACGAGTATCAGCAAGAAAAATTTGGAAAAAATCTACAAACATCATGAAGCAAAAATGAAAGAATTAAAAAGCTTCCAGAAGCATGAGCGAGTAACATTTGGAAAAAAATTAGGAATCTGCAAACCTCACAAAACAAAAAGCCAAAAAACGAATCAGAGCCCAATTTTCTTAATCGATAAACTGGTTTTGTGGAAAAACAAGAAATTGGCTTCCGAAAACTTGTCGAAAAACTTCTCTGGTGTCCTCCATGGATTTCGGTCAAGATCCTTCATTTTTATCTAAGCCCAATTTTCTTAATCAAAAACTTAATTGGTGTTTTACACTTCTTGGTTTTTGGAATTTGATTCATAACAGTGCATTTTGGATCAATTTTGTATGATGATATTTTGGCTTTTGCTGAAAAGGAAGGTCTTGAAATGGGTCTTTCAGGAAAGAGAGGGTTGAGGAAGGAGAACGAAGAAAGAGAGAGATGGAGAAAAAAGAAAGAAAAGGATAATAAAAGGGCATACAACTAATTAAGTGTAATTAGTATAGTGTAACTCTCAATTCTGTGGGTTAATCGGTTTGTTGGGTCGGTTAATCTGTTAGTTGGGTCGGGTTAAATAGGTTAGTGGTTTTTTCTTCCCACCCAGGCAGCTTATGTAGACAGCTGTTAGTTTTAGGGCAAATGTGGTCCAAAATTTAGACGGCAAAGACTTAATTGGTATCAAAATCTAACGGAAAGTAAAACTGGTATATTTCGAATAGTTGAAGGGTGTTTTTGGCCCTTTTCCGTTTAAATAGAGCATAAATCTAATCAATGAGTGGAGTCAACGATGTTCACTTTTGGATTGACAGATCATGTTATTCTAATTGGGTACGTTTAAACCGAGATAGTCAATTATCTTGGAGAATTTGAACTACTTGTGCTATAAAAGTGGCTCTCATCGCTGTTACCTTCCCCAAAAAAGTGGCTCCCATCTAACTTTTCTAATAAAAGATATTGGAAGTATCTTGAAGGTTGTCCTTGTAAAAAGTAAGTGTTTTGAAGATTGTACTTTAGTTTTTTCCCCTTTTGGCTGTAAGTGATTCGTTTATAGGACATCATAAAAGGAAATTTAAGGCGTTATTGGGGACGGGGGAGTGCTGTAAGTGTGCTGAACTCCTCTGGCTGAAAGCTTTCCACGAACTTGCGCTTACCTCCATTAACCTGTCAGTTATCGAGCCTCTTTAACGTCCTGTGAAGCTATCGTCATGGTTGATGGTCCAAACTTGAGCCTCCCATTGCTAAAAAATTGCATAAACTGAAATTGTGTGCAAGGTGCTAAACCTGGGAAAGAAGAGGGAAATGAGGGAACAACATGAAGAAATCTTTTTTCCCTGAAAAGTAAAGCTCTTAATCATTACATAAGCTATTGTAAAGATATTTTTCTTATAGTAGTTCAGTCTCCTTGTGTTTGTTTATGACTTTGACTTGCATCTTATTCTCTCCAAACATGCAGCTTATTGAAGCACTGGCCCCTCGAGCATTCTGGAGGAAGTCTTTGATGGTTTACACTTTACAACATGTAGCTTTTGTTTTGATCTGTATCATTCTTTCGATAGTTATAGCTGTCAAGGTCCCAGTTTCCTTTTTTTTTCTCCCTCAAGTTATAACCATTGAAGAGGCTGCAAACAAGTCTAGATTTGATCTATGGTAACAGCCACCCTAAGAGAGCAATAGTTTGTATATTGTTGGTTCAGAAAATTATGAAATAAAAGTTACATTGCTTTTCGGCCTTCGCTTAGCATTCTTCTTCTCAGTTGTCTGTCCCTGCATTTTCCTACCCGAATGCATTCGTTGCTAAACAGATTTCTTCTTCTCAACACATCCGGAAGAAATTGTTAGTTGGCCTCAATGATAGTTGTTTTCTTGCACTTTGTGTTATTATCCCTGACTAAGGTAATTCCTTTCAACGTGGGGATGCAATCTGCTCAATATAAGTAGCGAGCATTTTGACTGAGCTGTTCGATTCTTTTTTATTTGAGCTGAAATGTTGAGGATGATGTGACTTTTGAAGGTTGGCTAGTTTCTTAGTTGTGAAATGTATAATGGAATAAATTGAGTTGTTAATTTTGGCTTGTTAACAAACCTGGTTGTAATCTTATTTGAAATCCAGTTGCCCCATTCATGGGCTAAGAGTTATAAAATGCAGTACCTATATCTTAATCTAATTGAAATTTGGCTTTATTCTAGACTAGATTCTAGATGATCAAGGTTGAGCATTTGAAACTAAAGTTCAGCTGTAAACTATCATATATGTAAGTTTATATTAGTGTATGCTCCTGTAAGATGCAGATTTCCATTGCATTTGAGAACATTACAGTGTGAATATGCATGTGCGCCCTTTACATAAATTTAAAGGGTTTTCGGCTTCTTTCTTCGGCCTATTTGGCCAAGCTTGATTATTTTGAGTAGTGTTTTTATCAAAAATGCTTTTGAAAAAATTCTTTTGGACAGAAGCAATTTGTGTTTGGCTAATCACTCTGAAAAATACTTTTGAGCAATAATTTGTATTTGGCCATGCTTTTCAGAAAGTGCTTTTAAGTATCAAATTACGAATAAGGACATGAATATATTTACTTAATAGTTAATATTATAAGTAAATAAATAAACTTAAAAAATTTGTTATTACAGGCAATAATTAAATCTTTTCATTTTATTTAAGTAAAATATGAAAATAAAATTTAAAAGTACTTAATTCTTTTAATATAAGTTAAATATATTAAAAATCATTCAACAAATATAAAAACATTCAACCCTAAAGTCACTGTATATTAGAAAGTTATCCTAAAAATAATAAGAAATATGTATACATTAATATCTTAAGTATTAGGTTTAACGATTATTTTGGTATATACTATATTTTGTTAAGGGTATTCTTGGTAAGAAGAAAAGTCAAAACTGCTTCTGCTTTTGGGAAGAAGCTATTTTTTTCGCTTCTGCTTCTTCCCAAAAATACTTTTTCCCCCCAAAAAAGCTTGGCCAAACAACTCAAGTTAGGAAAAAAAGTGCTTTTGGGAAAAAAAAGCACTTCTAGCCTCTTGAGAAGCTTGGCCAAACATGCTATTAGTCGTGAGGATCTACGAGCCTATGGCTTCAACTTACTCCCTCCGTTCACTTTTACTTGGCACGTTTTGACTTTTCACGCCCCTTAAGAAATAATAAATGAAGTGCATAATTTATCATGATACCCATATTAATTGATGTATATTTTATTGGATTTGAGAAAATGATTTGAAATGAGTAATAAATATTGTGGGTATAACATGAAAAAAAAATTATTTTTTTGATATGCGTAAAGTGACAAGTAAAAATGAAAATCTATTTTTAGTACAGATGCCAAGTAAAGATGAACGGAGGGAGTAATTTGCAATTGGAATGAACATCACAGAAATTGATGCTCCTTTTGCTATTTCCAAAGCCTTGAACTTCAAAGCGAAGGTTAATCAACCTAAATCAACACCCCTTAACTAAGTTTAAAAAAATATGAAAGTTCAATTTTCAGTTTAATCACAGCAATCAAGTAGTCCGTCCGGAAGAAATTGTTAATTGGTCAAGTGTTTGACTTTTAGGAACGGCAAAAGTTAATTTCAGTCTCCTTTTTAGGTAGCAGAGAAATCAAAGGTTCGCATTTATTGGAATCTTGTTGTCATGGTGTATTTTAAAATTCACGTTTAATTATTGTAATTTAAACTAAAATTTGATGATGAGAAAAGATAAAAAAAAAAAAAAACAAAATGAAAGAGGAGTTGCATTAAGTTTTGGCCATGACATTGAAGTCATCACCACAATTATTATGATGCTTGGGGACTCAAAATTTCTTCGTTGAAGATCCCAATTGGCTGCTAAAAAGTCTTTTAATTCTTCATTTGTAAGTAATGATTCATGTGCAATGAGGATAGACCAATTGAGATAGAGTCTATGAAAAAACCCTATTCTTGCTAGA